ACTGATAGCTGGCTTGTTCTGGAGTGACTAGACAAGACTGGTTTTAATTCATCAGGGCCCAGCACCTCTGCTGCAATACATTCCTTCTCTCCCTGCCTAAGACCTCTGCTGGGACTGGTTTGGTTGCAGCACCAAGGTCAGAGAAGGGGATTTTCTGCTCTCCTGCTCTGTTATCAAAGGGTTTTCAGCCAACCTGCTCCCAGCCATTGGATGAAGGGCTCTGCCTGTGGTGCACGCGGTGGTTGGTGTCATACATTGTGGCACTGGGGAAAAGCATTTTCTGGTGGCTGGAGGGATTACCTTTTAGGGTTAACAGAGGGTTTGGCTCTCATTTCAGAACTGGCTGGGCTACACCAAGAAGAAGGCGCCGATTGGCTTCCACCGGGTGGTGGAGATCTTGCAAAGGAACAATGCTCCTGTGCAGGTGAGCAAGGACCTGCTGCTTATATCCTCCTGCTCTTTGTTGGGATTTGGTGTGTGAATGATTCCCCAAATGAGCCTCTTCCTAGCTTGGAGGGGAACAGCTTGCTGAGCTATGGGATGGTAGTGAGGGCTGGGTCCTAGGTCTGACTGCGAGACGGACAGTGGGGCTACACTTGTCTGGCATCTTTCTCCCCATGGTGCACTGCCACCTTCATTTGCTACGTGAACTTTTTTTTTTTTGCTTAATCTGACTGGCAATGGTTAACCCCATCCATAAGAACAAGGTAGCCTAGGACTCTGAGCTTTGTGAGCAAAGCTTTACTGCCTCTGGGGCCCTGAATGGTCTCGTCCTGGTAGCTTGTTGCCCTAGGAAAGAAGGGGTCATGTCTGTGTGATCAGTGACCTTTATAGGTTTTGTGACTGGAGTGAGAGAAGGAGGCAGTGGGTACCTGCAGAAGGGAGCTGAGAGACTCTTCATTCCCTCACAGGTGCTACAGGAGTATGTGCGCCTGGTGGAGGATGTGGAGACACGGCTGAGCCTGGCCACCAAATACAAGTGCCATGATGTTGCCATTGAGGTAGATCCTTGCCCTGCATGTGAAGAGATGGGACAAGAGTCTTTTTCTCCCTAGCTTTCCTGTGCTCTGCCATGTGCCATTGCTGTTATGTGCCTTGTGGGGTTTGTTTTATCCCTGTTGCTTGGGAGCAGTGGTACGGTTCCTGGTGGAAAGCAAGTGAGCCAGGAGAGTAGCTCCTAGTGGCTCACTTGCTGTGGTGCTGTGGTGGGAACCTGAGGAGGGAATGAAGAGTTGTGGTGGGAACTTGAGGAAGGGATGAAGAGTTGTGGTGGGAACTTGAGGAAGGGATGAAGAGTTGTGGTGGGAACTTGAGGAGGGAATAAAGAGTTGCCCTGTTCATCTCCAGGGCACCATCTAAATGTGTAAGTGTCCTCTTCACTCAGCTGGGTGCTGGTTTTGCTGTTTGTCTAGACGTATAAGGATCTAAAGGATCGCATCCAGCTGACAGCATATAAATGCAAGGTGGAGCGAGGCTCTGCAGAAGAAGAGAAGATAAACAGCATTCTCAGCAACCCGGTAAGAAACATCTACTTTTTCTGCCACAGACTTTCATCAGAAATGGCTGTAGATTAGGTGTAAGGGTGTGGCTGTCCTACATACTTTTTATCCCTGCTGGGAAGCTAATCTTACCTTTGGGATTGCATTCAGTATGGGAATGAAGGGTGAAATTGATAGAAATAGCACCGTCTGGCCATAGTTGTTCTTGTCAGGGATTGGGACTCCCAATTCCTGACAACTGACTTGGTCCTGAGGCATCTGTGTTCAACACTGATGTTAGTCATGTCTCATTCTCTCTTCTAGCAAATCCGATGGAAGAACTGATCACCTGTGAAACAGCCTGCTTGGCTGCTGCCTTGCCTGTGAAAAGAGGAAACTGCAAAACCCAGCCCAGTGCCAGCAGAGCAACTCTGTTACTACTCATCGCATGATCAACGTTCATTGGTTACAGTGGCTTGTGGGACAGTGGCTGGTTGAAGGCAGCTGCTCCAACGTAGCCATGGTACTAATCCACTAGGGTTGATTCTTTTTGGAATCTGATTCTCTTTGACTTGGCTATATAAGCCAGGCAGTGTTTTTGTTTACAGAGGAGGTGGCTGGAGATTATGTTAAGTCTAAGTGGTGCCTGAGCTCATTTTCTCTCACAAGAGGAACGGGTCAGTCACACTCATGGGCCTCTCTACCAGATGATTCTGGTCAGTCCCTGTAACACTCAAGCTGGCTTGGGCATCCTCAGTCATGGCTGTGGGTGGAGTAAAGCCTACTGGGCTGTGTTCTCCCTGCATCAGAGTGAGTTGAAGAAAAGGACCAGCTGTACCTTAGAGCTTTTCTTTTTTTTTTCCCCTGCTCTTTTTTTTTTTTTCCCTTTTCTTTTTTTTTTTTTTCCTGTAGTTTGTTCTGGCTCACCCTAGGAAAAGAGATGGTGTATGGACTCCTGCAGAGAGCCAGGACAGCAGTCCCTCCCAGTATCCTTGTGCTGGCACTCTGCAGCTCTTGGAAGATCCCTTTATCAGGGAAGAGCAGGCCCCTAGTGTGGAGCTGGTCAGAGCCCTGCTGGGTTGGAAGGAGAGCAAGCAGGGACCCACTCAGTTGGCACAAACCTGCTGGTCCCAGCAGCTCTTTTCTCAGTGTTATGCCAGGAAGGATTGAATTGCACTTTCACAGAAACACAACTCCTCAGGCAGCTGCTGGCTTCATCCTTCCAGACCTCACTTCAGTTCCTTAAATAAAGCTGTCTCTTTCTCCTTGGGCTGTATATTTTGTTCCCATACTGAGCAATTCATCACTCTGTGTGCTAATCCTGAGCAATTTATCACACCTCCCACTGGGTATGCGGGGTATTTTCTCGTGTCCTGAAAAGCACAGTGCGTGTCACCGTGGAGCAGCTTTGCTTGCAGAATATCTTACTTCACTCCTTCAATGCTGTCAGTACAGATGAATTAGTTTTAATGTAGAGACTTCGCTGCCACAGAGGTGAAGGTTTTGTGTAGTGATGTACCAGTCTGAGGGCAGGTCTAGGTTCCAGCCTCCCTTCTTTTTTCTTTTGGTATTTGTTTTTTTTTTTTTTTTTTTTCCTCATTGACTTATTTAAGTTGGAAGGAACTTCTTAATTATCTAGTCCAGTCCTGCTCAAACAGGGTCACCCGGAACAGGCAGACCAGGACTGTGTCTGTTTGGGTTTTCAGTATCTCCACAGCTGGAGACAACTTGGCTTCTCTGGGCAACCTCTTCCTGAATTTTACCACCCTCACTGTAAAAAGATGTTTTCTTGTCTTCAGATGGACTGTCACATTTCCCTTTGTGCTCACTATCTCTTATCATTTGGCGCCCATGAAAAGAGTCTGGGTCCTTACTTCCCCCTCATCAGGTATTACTCACATTGAAAAGTTCCCCCAACCCTTCTCCAGGTTGAACAGTCTGAGCGCTCAGCTTCAACTCATACAAAAGATGCTCCAGCCCGTTAGTCATCTTTAGTCATCAGCCCTTTGCTGAACTCTCTCCAGTATGCCTGTGTCTCTTTTACTGAGGAGCCCAGAGCTGGACACAGCAGTCTGGATTTAGAGAAGAATCACTGTGTTTAACCTGCTGGCACCATTCATCCTAAGGCAACCCAGGATGCTGTTGGCTAGGGTGAGATTTGCTGTCAGCTCTCCCACATGCCCCAGGCCCAGACACTGTTCGGTTGTAGGAGTTGGAATGGTGATTAGAATGGGATTTGTCAGGGAGCAATGGGAGAAACTGAACATACCCTTGGAGGAATCTGATGAAAGCCGTAAAATAAGTCTTCACATCTGTATTCTCTAAGCATGGGTCCTGGGTGCCCCTGTTGTGATTTGAACAATGATACAGATGTGTAGGAAGATGTATCAGTTCAGCAGCAGGGGAGCTGTGATCTGGCTGTACCTATGGATACCCTAATCTTGTTCTGCTGTTTGTAGGATGCAGTGTGCCCTGAGAACATTGGTAAGTGCTCCCCAGCCTGGGACTGCAAATGGGGCTGCATTTACATGGACTTTTAACTGTACTTTTTTTTTCATAGCAATTCAGGTAGAACTCACTAAATAATGTTTTTCTGCTAAAAATATTGACGGTATGGAAACTCCCCCCCCCCCTTTTTTTTTCAGTTGGGAAGCAGAGGATGCTGTTGTACAAAAGATCATTATTTGCTTAGAAACGTACTGTGCACCAAATATTAATTTAGTTGTTTGCTTTTTTTTACCAGTCTTATCCCAGTGTGTTGGAGACATCAACCCTGTTCTTTGGATGCTGGCTAGCTTAACGCCCATTTTAGTTTAGTCCCACCCATTTTTGTTTTGTGGCTCTTCAAAATTCTCCTTGTCCATTTGACAAGAGCCTGGTTGGTGACTGAGGCTCCAGGTTGCTAAGTATTCACCCAACAGCAAAGCATCTCCCTAAATGAATGGCAATACTGAAACAGAGATGGCTCTCTAGCTGTTTCATGGGTTCAAGATCAGTTGTAGCAGAAAAGCTGCTTGCTGGGCTCTGAATACCCAGCCAGGAGAGGAGATCAGCCTGCATCATTACAGCAACTGTTTGCATGTGAACTGTCAACTGCCCCATAAACTCTTACATAAAACAAGACAAGTGGGGAGAACAGTTCTCTAGGGAGATGCGTGGAATAATAAAATCCTCTTTCTAATCATCTCAGGGCAGAGAGGAAGGAGGGATTATTAAATGGCTTTTTATAGATCTTGACTGCTAGCCAGATCCCGAGGCTTGGCTATTTCAGCCAAAGGTTTTATATCAGCCTGCATGAACCGGGGCCAGGCAGATGAGCTCTCTGCATGTTCATTACTGGCAGAGAGGCTGCCTGCTCCGTGTCATTCTGCTGCTCCCTTTGCCATGGAGGAACAGCAATGGGGAGCAGCCAAAGTCCCTCTGAGCCGCTTTGGGCGGGCAGCCAGTGGCCCCAACCTGGGGGTGGTGGTTTGTGTTTCACCTGCATGTGCAGAGCACAGGTAACCATGGTGCGGTGCCTGGAGGTGCTGGTCAGTGACCCATGCTGGTTCTGTGGGCTCTTGGGTCCCTTTCTCCTTGCTTATTACAGCAGACCTGCAGAAGCAGGGCCTTGCATGCTTTTAAACAACCAGTGCTCAGCTGATAGGCCAGGCAGATGTTGTGTTCCTCTGTTGCCTCCTGGCACATGTACTGTCCATCTGCTATGTCATTCAGCCTGTCATCCAGAGCCCCTGTGTTGTGTACAGCCTTGTCACTGCCATCAGGTAAAACAGACCATGACATTTCAAAGCCTGGATGTGCTGCCATCATTTGGGACCTCATGGAGTGCAGCTCTTTCTGCCTCTCATGATTTTATTGTGAAATGTCATTGCAGACCTTGTTTGGTCTGCACTGGTTGGTCACTTCCCCAAGTCAGCTTTCTGTTTGTCTAGAAGTTGTAGACTTTGTGGCTATAAATGTAAAAACATGATCAAAAGCAGTCTCCAGGAGCATCCCCTCTCTTCTCTGGTACACTCGTTTCAGCTGCCTTTGCAGCCCTCTGGAAAGCTGGAGCACTTCCTTTGCTACAGTGCCATTGTAAGGCTGCAGCATCAGTGCCCCTGGCCAGGAGCCTATCCATCCATGAGTGGGGGATGAAAGGAACAGACTGCACTGCTTGTGCAGGCAACATGTCCCTGTAGTGCCCCAGGTAAAAGCCCTTTTTGCCTAAACTTAGTAGCAATTCTTCTAAGGAGTTGCATTCAGTAGTTTCCCTGCCTGTAGGATTCAAAGCTGGGTCTTGTTAGTTAGGAGGGCAGTGTGGTAAGAAAACCCTCCTAGAGGAATCCTGCCACCATACAGCTAAAGCTGGAGTGTAAATAGCGTGCGTGGAAGTGGGTATCATGCACAAGAAGTGAATGGGCAAAATGAAGTAATATGTATCATCTTCACCAGTTTCTCTGATCAGCATCCCAGGGGTCACTCTTTCTTTCAGGAGCGCTGCTTTTCATGTACCTGCCACCAGTTGCTAAAGAGCTGCCATTTCTCATTGTGAAACAATAGTAACTGTGAGCCTAAACAGGGCAGCAGGAGCTGAGATATGCTTTCTGAGCAAGAACATGGTCCAAAGTCTCTTTTTCTCTTCCTTCAGGCCCAACTTCTATTTCCATGAACATGCTGTTCTTATCGCTGGGCTACCTCTGACCATCACTATTTCATTGTACACTTCCACATGCACATCTAATTCTTGTGTAGCTGAATGCTCTTAAAGCAGTTACAGTGAACATCATACCAGGATGGCTGAGTTGCTGAAGACTTTATATGCAGCCTGTAAATGGCTCCTGTTAACCCAATGAGAATGAGCTAAAGGAAATATAAGCTATCCTACTTGTTACTATTAATTTCAGCATCCCTCACCTTAATGATCCTAAACCAGAGGTTTCAAATAAACCAGCTCTGATTGATTGCCATTGCAATTCTTCACATGAGTGGGAGTTGAGAATATCCCTTCACACCTGCGTGCACAGTGGTAACTGGCATTTCATTTTGTTTGTCCTGCAGGGAAGGTAGGAGTCAATGCTGAATGGCTGGTGACTGTTTTCTCTGCAGCCCTGAAAAGCAGCACGTGGCAGAGCCTGCCTCCCCAGAAGGCACTGAAATTACTTAATGACCTCCATTTCCCTTAACGCTACCCCGTCTGCGCAGAGCACAAAACTTCCTGCCCACAGTTTGTGTGCAAGAGTTTCATCAGCAAAGATTTTGCCTCTTCAGTGACTCTAGAGGAGTCACTACTTGCTGAGGTACTACTTGTCCAGGCTTCCTCTTCACTCTGAAACTTGCTTCCTCCCACAGCTGAAGCATGGGTTGTTGAGTTGAAAGACACTGAACTGTTTGTTGCTCTAGGACTGCATATGTGCCAGGGAAGATTGCCTTAGGTGATGTATGAGCAATAGGACCTGGTCCATGAGCCCGAGTCATTTTGTCCTTGGTTCCTGTTTGGCTGCTTTGTTGTCTGAAGCCAGTGATTGGGGCTGGGGTATTGAATGCAGAAAAAAAATCCTATGGGAATATGTAGAGAGGGCAGTGCTTACAGGTAAGAACTTATGGTACTTCATGGACTGGACTATTGAGGATGTTAACACTGCTTGAGGGAAAGGATTCCTGCTTGTGCAGGGTTGTTCTAGAGCCATTAGGCTCAGTTTTGCTCCGCATGACACAGTAATGCCTGGAACACTTTAGATTCAAGTATCCAAGTCTGATTGTTTCTCAAAGACCCCAGAAAAAGACTTGTAGGCAGACACTAAATAAAACCATTATTTACCATTAATTAGCATGCTGCTTCAGACTGCTATTTCCCATAAGCACAGCCACCTCTTCCCAGGGCTTTTCCCTGGTTTGACCTGACAGCTGCGCAACTGAGAGAGTCTCCCTTTAGCCAGCTGCTGGAAATGAGTAAGCTTGTCCAGAGCCATCTTGCCCTACTATACCAGGCAGCCTTTAGAGACTGGCCTACAAAGCAAGGTGGGCCTATCAGCTCTAAGACATCTCTTCCTTCAGCTGCAGCGGAGCCTGGTATGACATTGGATGAGAGGACTTCATTCTCCATAGCTGCTTCCAACATTTTCTCAGAAAGTCCAGAGGAAATAACTATTATTCTAAACCCTTATAAACTCTAACTAAGCCTATATCAGAAAGCTTTGCTGAGATCTCATCCCAGCCTCCTCCCAGGATGGAGGGATACAAGAGCCAGCACTGTTCATTCTTAGTGTCTCCAGCCAAATACCCAATGTACACATTTGCTTCTACAAGTTTTACCCTTTAGGCTGCTCAGCAGACTTGCTCCTCTCTAACTGCCTGAGTCTTGCCTTATTTTGGTCTGAATTTGCTTATTACCTAGCCATCTTGGTCTACAAACTGCTTCCGTTTCACTGGGTTTCTGTTGCAGTTTCACTAGAAAGCTGAAATGCAAAACCAAATTACAGTTATTCTGTAGTGGCTACAGAATAAGGGTGCAAAGAACTAAACAGGAGTGGGGCTAGTCTTTTTTTTATTTTTTTTAATTTATTTTTCCATGGGGTATCTTGAGGCAGCCATTGATGCCAGACAATAATAATGATGTAGTCTTTCTGTTGAGACAGGCTTTCATCAGCACTTATTCATACTTCCTTGCTGGTGATAATGTGCTCCACCACCACAGACTGAATATTTCCTTCAAGAAAAAAAAAGGTAACTGGATATTCTGTACAAATCCACCCAGGACAAAGCATTTTTTATTCCCTAAATCCGCTAGTTCAGCTTACAGTATTCTCTTATACTTGCCATCATCTATCATGTGTTTCAGTACAGTTTGCTATGATAAACCACTGACTGGTTTTGCCTCACAGGAAATAATTTCTGCAGTGAGGCCAGGGATTAGTTACTTATGCTGTAACTAAGCCCCTCACTTAATTACAGTAGCTGACAGCAGCTGTCACCACACCTGTATACCAGTTATTGTGTGTGCTATTTGTCTTACATCTGGGCTTTAAAGTGAGCCCTGTCGGCAGACGCTAAAGCCTGGGAGCTGCCAGGAAGTTGCTATCCATAACTGGTAACTAAAATACGTCTATGATTTTTTTTTTTTGTCTTTTTAATCAACTCTGAAGCGGAATTGAAAGACAGACAGTGGTACAGTCCGGTTTACAGATTCTGCTTCACAAAAGATTGCAGAAAAGAGCTAATTAGGGATGTGCTTGCTGTCATCAAAATGCTAAGAGCTGCAATTGCCTTTTCTACAATCAGGAGAAGGTAGAACTGTACTTCCTTGGACAAAATTCCAGATAATTATGCTGTATTCTGCTGGGCTTCTTATAAGGGTGCAAGTGCAGTGTGAGTCTCTAATCCTGCCTCTGGGTGCCCTGTGATGCAGGGAGGGCATCTGTTTCTACCCCAGTCTGGGCTTGTTGCAAAGGAGGAACTGTAGTATAGGGCTCTAGTCCTGCTTCTTTGATAAACTGTGAGAAAGTGAGGGCATCTGCTTGGTTTCCTGATGAGGACTTTCGCTCCAGAAAGAGACCCATGTTGTCTCTGTATGGGAGGGCAATGGATCTGCTGAAGGCAGGCTCCTCAGTCCCTAACAGCTCTTGTACATGTCGTGAAATCTCCTGAAATACAAGACAAAATACCAGGAATCCTCATTTCACTGAAGAACAGCTAATACCATTCATTCTGTATCAGAGCAGCAACAAAAAAGAATGAAATTTCTGATTTTTGGAACAATTTCACACTTGAGGTTGCAACTCAAGAGGGATCTGAACCCATAAGCCCTGTGTGATATTGTAAAGCAAAGCAGATTTCTCCAGATTTACTGTGGGGAATGGCATTGCAGCTGGTCTCTTCATGGCACATATATCTCTGCTTTCCTCTTTGCCCTTGCAGAACAAACAAGTTATGGGTGAATGAGCTGGAGTCTATTCTGTGTAACACAAAACCACTGCTGTTTGCTAAGTTATACTGTCAACAACAGAGTTTACGCAGAAGAGCTGTAAAAACTAATTAAGCCAATAAGCCATACTGCTCAGTAAGAAAATGATGGGTGACTGAGCTGCCTGAGACAGCTGCACCTAGAACTGTCAGTGAACAGAACCCTGCTGTCATTTTTGAAGTCACTTCTGTCAATGTAACCTTCAACCGAAGCCTTGAAATACAATTCACAAGTTTTTACTGATCTTTCACAGCTTTTGCTCGAAACTTTTCCCCAGCATTGGTGTGACTCTGAAGAGCAGTACCCTACTTTGTGTGATCAGTATCTTCAGTGGTCTCAGTATTTAAAATATCGGTAGACTGGAATTAAAACCAGCAGTAACTTCACTTGTCCATGCTGCACAGCCTCCACATAATTCACTGTGCAGCTCTCTACCAAACAGCCATTTCCCCTAATTGCAAAAATTTTCTATCTCACTGAGCTGATGCTATCACATTCATTTCTATAGTAACTATCTTGGTTTCAACTGGTTATAGACTTTCATTGATATTTCTTGTTGGTTTATGTGCTCAGGGTTATGGCCTTAACTTTGCACCTGCTCCAGTACACACTTCCGGAAAGACCCACAGGGCCACAACCTACTCAAAGCTCTGCACACTTGGATTCTATCAAAGTTCTCTAAAACACAAAGAACTAACAGGACAGGGCATGATCTTCAAGAACATCCAAGTTCCACTGAAGTCTGTAAGATGTTCGCAATTCACTTTCAAGCTTTGGAAAACATTACAGAGAGTCTCATTCCCAAAGCTTGCTGCAGTATTCTAGCCCTGTGGAATTACAGTTTCTACAGGAGGAAGAATGGGTTACAGCTGATATCCCTAACCCATATCTTAATGTTTCTCAGTAGTTAAATTACCACCCTGCATAATCCCTGTATCCCAAATTGAGGCTGAGGCTTTCAAAGCCTATAAAATTATTGCTATCTTTGGTAAGTACAAATGACTAAAAAAGGCTGTCTCTGCTTGTACTTGAGAAATGCTCTCAAAGGGCTCCTGTCTGAAAAAAAAAAAGGATTATAATTTGATGCCTTCTGCACTAACCAGCAAAGTCATGTCACTAGGAAAGATTTTTGGTGGCATGTTTCATTTCAAACAGTTGATTGTGCAGCCAGGCAGAACCATGGGGAAATAGCTTCTTGGTGCTCTAGAATAAAACTAACAGTGTTCAAACTATAGTCATTGAAGCATAAAGATTTTTCTCTCTTCATGGTTATTTGAACTTTTACCTTGTGTCCTCTTGGGCTGGGGAAAGCAACTTTAAATTATGATGTGAAAAAAAGGCTTTGGGTCTGTAAATGCAGGCCTGAGTCTCTCTGTGGTTTCCAGCAGGGATGGGAAGGAGGGTAGCGAAATTTCAGTCAACTTTCTTATTTTCTGAACTTTCAGGAAGCTGTAGCCCTAAACTTCAGCGTACCAGTTAGCTTAACTATGAGTGTTTGTTAAACAAAAGATGTAGGTTTGAAAGGAAAATGACAATTACATATTTATAAAACAAGAAAGAGACAAATGCTGTTTGTGTTCAGCAAAGTTTAAAACAAGGAAGTAATAACATGTTGCCCTTCTGCTGCTTGTGATTGGTGGCTCAATTGCTGCAGGTTAAATCTGACTAGATTTTTAAAAGTTCTACGAGTAAGTGGAAAAATACTGAAAAAAAAAAGTTAATTTTGAGGGATATCCAAGCAAGGCATATGCATCTGGCTATGCAACTTCATGAGGCAAGAGGAGCAACATAGGCTTAATGAAAGGCCAAGCACTTCTGATACACTTTAAGTGTCCCAGAGAGGAAGCCTGCAATCTCCATCCAGCTAAGGATTTATATCTTAAAAGACTCAAGGGGTACAAGTGTTTGGGTGAACGAATTTGGCTGTCCAGTTTCAGGCTCCCTCTCTGAATAAGCCATCTGCCTCGGTGGACAGGCTGTGGCCTAGCTGGCTTGCAAGCATAAAGGGTCAGCGCTGAGCTCCGAGGGGCTGAGGAGGGGTCTCCGGGACCCTTGCGGCCCACACCTGCATGTGGCTGAAGTCCTTGACACCTATGGCCGGGAGGTTGGAGCAGTTCACGAGGATGCGTCGGCAGCCGATGTTGCCCTGAAGCACTCCTGAGCAAGAAAGCGGAGGGGAAGGCGGGTGGGCCCGGGTCGCCCTCGGCCACTGCCGGCCCTCCGTCAGCGCTCACACAGGCTCACGTACACACAGAGCTCAGGGCCACCGGTTCAGGCGGGAGCTCCCCGCCCGAGCCGGACCCCGCACCTCGTACTGGGGGAAGCCGAGCTGCAGCACCCACTGGGCCACCTCCTCGGCGCTCCAGGCCAGGAAAGGGCATGCGGGCTCCGGCCCCGCCGTCCCCAGTCTCTGTTCCACCAGCGCCGTCCGCAGGCCGCCACGGTAAAGCGTCTTTCCGGGGCCCTGTTGCCATGGCAACCGCGACTTCCTGGAGGCAACCCCTCGTTCCCTCCGGACCCCCCTCCGTCCCGCCGGCTCTGCGGAACTAGGTTTTGATTGGTTGCGTTGTTGAGGGGGGAGCCTGAGGAGCGAGCATCGAGGCACCACCTACTGTCAGGCTCACGTGCGCCCACTCGGCTTCTGTCGACTGCTCCTGCTCGGGTGTTTCCGCCGTCGGTGGCAGCGCTTCGGCTCCACTCGGCTCTTTCCGCCCCGGCTGGCCGTCGCCTTCGGCCCCGCACGCGCCGGCAGCCCGGTCCGCCCTGCCCATGTCGGACGTGCTGGCTGCCGCCGCCGGCTCCCGCTTCGAACCCCTGGCTGCCGGGGCGCCGGGTGGACCCGCGGCACAGGGCCCCTCAGGTACGGGCTCGGTAGTGGAGGGAGCAGCCGGGCTGGCCGCAGAGGGAAGAGGGAGCGGCTTCCTGCTTGCGCGCTGCCCTGGCTGGGTCGAGCGCTTGCAGCCCGGCTGCGGTCCCTGGGGAGGAGCATCCCCCCTCTCCGGCGGTGGGGTGGGCTGGGCTGAGCCGCCCGAGGGGGCGCCGGGCAGTGCCTGCGGGGCTGCGGGCCCGGGGACACGTATTTTAGCCGCGGAGAACGCCGTGAGTTTCCGTGATGGGTTTCGTCCTTTCTGCCGGAGAAGCCGTGTTTTCCACTGTGGCAGTTTGCTCCCGTGAAAACAAGGTACCTCTGGCGAAGAGCAGCTTCGGGAGTTAGTCCTTGGCTAGCATTTGCTGTACCGGGTGAGTTGGGTGCTGTGGTGCCTTCTGCCGCTGGTACCCGCGTTTGCGGGGACCCCGGCCCCGCTGTAAACGGGATGCTGAGCTCACCTGCTGCTCCAGCTCCCGAAACTACAGCAGCAGTTCCCGGTGTTTCTTCCCGGCAGTGGAACGAGCGAGCGCTGATGGAGGTTTATTAGGGACACGATGCTTTCCCTTGTGGAAGAGGCCCCATCTAGCCGGAAGCCGGATGATCTCTGCTGGGGGCTTGGTGCTGTGTGCTGGAGGTGCCTCCCAGCTCCAGACTGACTCTTCCAAACGGCCAGCGGCTGTAAGAGCTGCAAAAGCTGGAACTTCTCCGTGCCCAGTTCGCTGCCTTAATGCGACCATACAGCGGGGCAGTGGAGTGTGTACCGCAGTTGCATGGGGACAGAGCTTTCTCAGAGATCAGGAGACTCAGGGGAGACCTAAAGTCATCTTTATAGACAGTCCTTTTAGCAGTGACCGAGGAATTTCCATCCCGTCAGTGCCCTGTGGGAACCACGGCATGATTTTTTCCAGGGTCTTATCAGCACGGTTTTACATGATGAAATTTGGCCTTGTTCTGTCCTTCTAAAGTGAGGATTGGAGGTTCCTGAGCAAACCCTGCTTCCGAGAGTGATTCTGCATGAAAAACATGCATGTTTTTTTGTTCTTCCTTTCTTGGGGTTGAGGCAATTAAAAATCTTTGTTCTACAAGATGATAGATATAGCTCAACATGAAAAACTGGTTGGCACAGCTCTTCATTCCACAGCCATGTGACCTTGTCAACATTTGACTGCTGGCTGTGATTTTTTTCATCCTATCTGTGTATTCTTGAGACCAAAATCTGTTTCACCTTCTCTCCGTGTATTGTTTGTTGTTAGAAAATGAAGACTTAGCCCAAAAGACAGAGCCTGCAGATCAGCTGATTGATTCTGTGGAGTCCAGTACTTTGCAGAGCAGGTAGGAAGATCTTCTTGTGTATTGTGGCCCACATGCATGGCAGTCTGCTTCACCCCTGTGACATCCTCCATGTGGCCATTGATTCTGTGTAGGTGAAGAGAAGGGACTGAAGACTGAATTGTCTGTTTTGGGACAGCGTACACCAGAATCAGTATAGGAGAGGCTGTTCTGACAGGCTTAAGGTTGTTTTAAAACTTATGAAATGATGTTTAATAAATGGCTCAGCTGTTCAAATCACAGAATCATTCAGCTTAGAAGGAGCCCTGCAAGCTTTTGTAGTCCATTTTAAAAGCTAATAAACTTTCAGCAGGAAGTTTTCTCTACTTTGAAGGATTCCTTAATAATTAGGCATTCTCACTGTCTGTAATTCTGGTGGGAGCTCAGCAAGAAAACACCTTTTACTGTTTTCATGTCAATGTTTTGTTTTTTTTTTCTTCGCTCTGTTTTCTGTGTCACACCTTCATTAATGCAGCTGATCAACCCTGTTATCAGATGTTTGGCTTGTTGCTATGTGTTTGGCTTGTGTTTGTGACTGAGCAATTGCACTAGTTACAAGCACCAATACTATATGCAGTGGAGTTTCATTTGCCATCATACATTTGTTGCACAGGATACAATTTCAGAAATGATTTAATTGAATCACACAGTAGATAAACCACAACCACACTGAAAAAAGGGGGGGGGCGAAAATCCAGAACAACCCCCACCACCACCATCAAACCACCCTTCTTGCTAAAATAGCAGTTTGATGCCATGTCGGTTTGATGTTAATGGTATCTGCATGAGCCTTCTTGACTCCAAATGTTTTTTTCCATCTCTTTATTATGTCCTTGAGTGTTCTTCAAAGAGATTAATACAGACTGTGAGTGACGTGGCCACAGTAGATACTGGATACTTTTAGATGTACCTGATAAATTTGTCTAACTTAATCCCCATTGAAAAGAATGCGGGTTGTCCAGAAGTGTGAGTTGTTTGAAAAGGAATCAGCTGAACCCTGTCTTTGTAAACTGCTTATAAAACTTGTGTAGCTCTTGCTAATGTTTCAATGAATGTCTTGGGCTTCAGTGGTGTCTGGAAGAAAAAATTCCCAATCTGTTACTCCTGTGTTGATGGAGAGCCTTCTGAGCAGTCAAAATTTTTCCTGGACTCAGAGAGAAATTGTTAGAGATCACTGTGCGAGTTCTTCCTTTAAAAAATTGTCCCTTACAAGTGTCCCTTCTTATATTGTTCATCTGCTGCCACTTTGTGTATCATGGTATTCAGCTCATTTGAATTGTTCTTGCAGACCTTCTGGTCTATCATGCCATTCCCAGGAAAGTTTATCATACTGTTCAGAGAATTTAAGTAAGAAATGGCTTTATTTGTGGATAAAATCTCTATCCCCATACGAGGAAAGATTTGGAAACAAAAGCCACATTTGGCCTGTACTAGCCTTCTCTAAGGACGCAGGAAAGAACATATCTGAGTTGAGCTGTGTATGGGGTTTTTCTGTTTTTTTTTTTTGTGTTTTTTTTTTTTGTTTGTTTTTTGTTGTTTTTTTTTTTAACTATTCCACACTATACCAAGAGCCTAATCCCTTGCTAATGAGAATTTCTCATTTCTGAAAGCAGACATTTGAGGAAATGCACATATTTTCTCTTAGTAGTGTTCTCATGTTTCTGATACTTTAGTCCAGTGCATTTGACATTGGCTTTATAGTGCTGTGAGAAGGCTTTGCTCTTTGAAAGGACAACTGTTGCTATTCTGACTAAAGACTAGGTTGCTTCTCATGGAAGTTTCACACTGAGAGTATGTTAGAAGAGACTCTTCTGGCTTCCATCTGAGTTCAGCTGGGATAACTCCAGACAATATGCATCATTCTTTAATGTAATTTAGAAGAAAACCCTCATCAGAGAATGAATTTCAAAAATGTTTGCTTTCTTGCTCATTCTCTTCCTGCTACATACCTTTCTTTTTGTTTTAACATGTCCATTTCTTCGTGTCACAGTGCAGTACTTGGACCTCTTTGCTATTACTGTGCTGCTGCTCTATGTCTCATGGCTTGCTTGTTGGCAGAGCATATTCGAATATGACAGAGAGACACCTGGGTGTTCCCTGTATCCCTGGAGACTGGTAATAGGAAAGACATAATGGGCCACTAAAATGGAACGCGTTTTCAGGATGGCTGTCAAAACTGTTCTGAATCTTCACTGATCCAGTTGACCTCTGATAGGGTATGCAGATACCATGCAGTAGCTAGCATAAACAAAGTTGTCTCTTCTTGAGCAGAAAGTTGCTACTGTTTTCTGTACTTGGTACAGTGTTGGTGAGCTGGTGTGCTGGGTGGTGAGTGCAGGGAATTACTGCTGTCTAAAGGATGGTAAATACAAAGTATCTCACTGAAGTTGCTCCCTCTGGCTCACATGGAAGATAGCCACCTAGAGACGAGGGCAGAACTTGGGTACAAAGGGTTCTGTGTGCAGATGGCGGGTGCTCACTACAGAAGCTTGTTCCCTTACTCTATTTAAATTTGAGTTCTACGGCAGAGTGATTCCTCTGCTGGCTGTGTCCTGGGTGCAAGTGCTGAATTGTAGTGCTCTTCATCTGAAAGGTCACAGGCTGGGTTGCTCGTGAATGCAGGCACGACAGAGGATTCCAAGGAAGGAGCTGGCACTTTGGAGGACAGGGAAGTGTCTGAACTAGAAGGAAAACTGCCTGATGAAATCCAGTCCCTGAAAAAGGTAGGTGTGTGTTTCTTATGTCTGAAAGCAAGGACAGAGTTGCAGCAATAGCTCTTCCACCCTACTGCTGTCTTATGGCTATGGGATTGAGGCTTCAAAGGTTGTGTTAAGACAAAAGTAGTATTATAACACAGATTCAGTCTGATTTGCAAAATCCTTCTTCTGTCTTTGGCTAGTCCTCACTTCCTTGCAGTTTTGGCTTGCTAAGGCTTCAAGGTGATTCTCACTTTTTGCCTCTCGTTTGGGGCTTCGGGGAATTCCCTTCTTGCAGATTCCTGGAAGAAGGACCTGAAAGTGACTGCTGCCTTTTGTTTCATTTAGTGAGCAGCCAATTTGTTTGTGTTACAGATACAGTTGGGAAAACCCACACAAGTAGCACCCAGCTCAGGAGCTGTGAGTTTGCATATATGAGGAAAGAGGGCTGGTCCTAGTCAACCAGATTCACTTTTCACTAGTATGCAGCAAAGGACAGCTTGATTGTAGCTGTAGTATGGATGCACATAGAGCTGAAAGGCTTTCCCTGGAAAAATTGTGTCTTAGGAAATTTTTCCAAGTGTCGTAATTTGCGAAGCTGCTGCTTTGTTGAGAGGTAACAATTAACTCTGAGGCAGATGCAAAGATGTGCCTGCCCAGGGACTCACAGGGAGGCCTAGGGGTGTGTGATTTGTGAGACTAACACAGCATTTGACTTCAAAGTTCATGGCTTTGATGCTGTGGGGGGGGAAAAAGGCAGAGAGGTGTCTTGGAGCTAGATTGTTCTTTTTAACTAATAGAAGTTTCTGCAGGGTCTGACTTGGCTTCAGAAAGATGCCTAAATTACTAATATGCTGTTTTAAATACAGCTAGGGACTTTCTTACCATGATGGTCTTTGTGACTGTGTTTCTTATGTGCTTTGTGCAGGAAGCTGTTGTTCGAATGACCAACTACCATGTACCTCAAGGAGCAGGAGATATAGTCATGATTCAGTCAGATCACACTGGTGCTGTGGATATCCTTTCAGCTGAGCTGGAGACTGCAGGTCTCCTTGGTGGACAGAAGAAAGGTGAGTCCTGAAAGGACTTTTTAAGTGCCTGTCCTGCCTAGAGACGCGCAGAGGCTATCCTTGAGACACTGCTAATTCCTGCTGGAAATTTGGGCTCTTGGATAGCGAGTAGGAAAGCTTCATGTCCAGGGTTTCTGGGGGCAGGGTCTAGAGTGCAAAAGCCTTATTGGAAATAGCTTCAGTGTTTTCAGGTAACAGTTTGTCAGTAGTGAAAAGTCAGGTGAGCCCACAGTCTTTTCCCTTGTCTCAGCTCAGCCTCCCCCTCTGGCTCCACCCACCATGTGGACCACTGAGAAGACAAAGGAATTCAAAGCCAAGGTGGGAAGAGAGAAGAATGGCCGGATGGTGGTAAAGCGAGGCGAGGTGGTGACAGTCCGTGTGCCAACCCATCCTCATGGGAAATGCATTTGCTGGGAGTTTGCTACAGATGACTATGACATTGGTTTTGGAGTCTACTTTGACTGGACCACAGTTACTAGCACTGCCATTACCGTTCAGGTCAGCGAATCCAGTGATGAGGAAGATGAAGAGGAGGAGGAGGAAAATGAAGGTTAGTGCAGAGCTTATAAGGGTTAATTTGTGGTGCTTGTTGATATGCTGCTGAGACTGTCAGATGTTGTAATTTCCATCTACTTTGTTTACTTAGCCCATTTGTTATCTCTGCAGCCTTTTGTGTTCTTGGTTAGGCTGTGATGAGAAAGCACTTAGCCCTTCCTGTTTCAGTGTATGTCAGTGGCTGTTCTTTCCCAAGAGCATTCTTAAAATTGAACACATTGAAAAATAAGATCAGAATTCACTTGTTCAACTTGTAGCTGATAAAAAGATCAAGGTCTCAAATTTTAACTTGGCCAGTTTTCTTAACCTCTCAGGCTGAGAAATTTCTGGTGGTGAGCAGAGGCAAAAAGGTTTTGTTTCTGGGCTTTTTGGTTGGTTGTTTTGTTATTGGGGTGTTTTAGGGTTTTGTTGGTGGTTGTTTTGTTGTTCTTTTTGTTTGGTTGGGTTTTTTGTTGTGGGTTGTTCCCCCCCCCCATTACATCATTAGCTCCTGCTGACTGTATTTTAGAGGATTGCTGTCTGTGTCTTTGTACTTGTGAAACACACAGTGATGTTGCCTGCTCTGTGGCTTCAGTGTATGTGTGAACAGAGTAGCTGGGTGTCTGAAATTAATTTTGCAGGTTTTCCAATAAGGGCTAAGTTTCTGTATGAGGAATCCTCTTGGAAAAGTGACTGAAGACATAAACACAGTGAGGTTATAGCTAAGAGCTTTCCTGCCTTTCTTTTGCTTCAAGCCTGTATCGCTGGTCCAGTACTGTGCATATAAAGTAAAGTGTCTAAAAGGTAATAATTCCAGGGAGAGGAGACCAGGCTGGCAGGCAAGTGGATGCTGTTCCATCTATATTCCAAAGAGAACTGGTTCTTGGCATGTCCTTTGTCATGGTAAGGAAAGCTGGACTTTGTGGGTATTACTTGCAGAAAGGTCAGCGCAGACACTGTGGGTAACGCTGTCACAGTTAGCCAGCCTTATACTTGAATGCCTCTGGTGCATTCTTGTCTTGATCTTTTTCTGGACAACCTAGTAGCTTAGCTGGCTCTGGCTTGCTTACTTGTCTCCTATCTCCCATTCTACTTACTTATCTCCTCTCTCCCATTTAGGACTCGCCCCTGTTGGTGATGTGGAAAGAGGCTCCAAAAGCTATCTGCGGAACCGCTACGGAGAGATCATGCCAGTATACCGGAGGAACAGCCATCGGGAGGTGCAGGCAGGCAGCCATGAGTACCCAGGCGAGGGCATCTACCTGCTGAAATTTGACAACTCATACTCTCTCCTCCGCAATAAGACTTTGTTCTTTCATGTCTATTACACTAGCTGAACTAAAGGGAAGGGCAGGGACGGCAGGCAGGTAATGGTGAATGTAGCAGGCTGCCACCCAACCCTGGTACTGCCTGGCGGGCACTGCTGTGTGACAGAACCAAGGCACAATTCTGCTGGCTCTTCTTCGGACACTAAATGGTTTCTCCCCACACCCTCCTTCCCTTCTGTCCCAGTGGTGAAAGGTAGCTGTGTCTGCCTGGTTGTCTACAGGCAGCTGCTTTTTCTGTAAAACTTCGGGAGATCTGCTCTGTGCAGGCATCAGGCTGGGCCTTCATGTCGTAGCTGGTAAATGCCCAGAGGCCAAGTTCAGGTGGTCGTGGTTTCAATCTGTTGCGCTGGTACAAAATGAAGTGAAAATATTTTTGATCCGTTACTATTTTGTGACTAACTTTTCCAACTTTCCTGCTGTATCTGCATCATTAGAGGGTAGCTGTCAGTTGCAGTGAGCCAAAGCACAGCTGGCTTGTCACCTAGCCACCTAGATGTCATCACCTACCACCACTACATGTCACCAGCACCTAGTGCTTCCTCCACTCGTGCGGGTGGGGGCGCAGCTGGCTAGCGGAAGCCCCTGCTGCAGTGGCTTGGCCGTGCTACAACAGGCAGCCCCGAACAGCAGTCACAGCCCGTGTTTGAGCAGGGGTGGGAGAGAGGATGCACACCTACAAGTCCATAAGAAGGTTTCCCTACAGATTAAAAATTGGATGTTACACCTGTTGATTGTAGGGGTATGCAGATGATTAAAACTTCGGTGACCGCCAAAAGCTTTTCTATAATCCAGATGCGAAGAAGAAATTACTGCTGTGCTGAGTAAATATGAGAAGGTTGGAGTGCAGCCAAAAAATAGGAAGTATTTCACAGTAGCAGCATGTTGGTCCACTGGTATTGCTGCCAGCTGGATAATACTGTACGTAGCAAGGAAAAAAGGCTCCCCAGAGAAGTGTAGCTTGTCTGCTACTATTGCTGTTGCAAAGGTATTGTTAGAGAAGAACATCTCTGCTCAGAAACTTGAAAGATATGGGATTTAAACAATCCTTTCTGTGTACAAGAATCAGCAAGGCCATTGCTAACCCTGATTATGTGGTAAAGGGTGGAGTTCCTTGGCATGTTTTTGTGGCTAATCGTGGCATTGGTGATCACCTTCTGCTCAAATACTGGCAGAGTTGAACAAGGATTAAGTTAATCCTTCAGAGATGAATTTTGAATCATGTTTATCTGTAACTTGTTTATTTTAATACTTTTAAATTGAAATCTTTCTCTTTTCTAAGAATACTGCTGTATTTACATTTTTTTATACCTCTGCAGAGACACAAAATAGCTGTTTGCATGGTAATTCCAGTAGAATTCCGAGTTTTAAATCCTCCAGGTAAAGCACCCTTACTTGTTCCTTCTATTGAGAGGAATGATGGACAAACTGATTTTGGGTAGTTAAAGCCAAAGTCTTCACTCTCGTAAGAGGGGTGCATATTTCTTATTAAGGATATATTGTAATGCTGTGCAATTTGCTCAATATTCAAGCTCTTATTTTAACTATCTCTGTTTACTTATTCCCTACCATGGAGCAATTTAGTAGGTCAAAATGGTAAGAGAGAGATTAGTCAGTCTACAACAGAGCAGCCCAAGCTGGGAGCAGGAGGAGTGGAAATGCAAAGAACACGGATTGCAGCACAGTGGTTTTCTGGGTGAGCAGACAGGGAGCAGAGTTGGTCAGTGTAAAGAGCAGAGCTGTTGCTGCTTTGGGCTCTGAAAAAGCAAGCACACCTTGAAGGGGGACTGCAAAGCTGCCTTATTCAAGTGGGGCAACCACAGGGCAACCTTGCAGGGAGGCACAACAGTATCAGTATACAGAGCTTGATATCTGTCAGAGTAAGAAGCTCTTTCATTCAGCAGCTTGGGGAGGACTATTCCTGCCTTTAGCCTCTCCTAGGGGACATTAAGGACCATCCTGTGGCCTTTGTACAGCACTTGGATCAGGCCTGAGCAATGTGGGTAAGGTGCTGTCTTTTTTTTTTTTATAGTCCTTGTCTATCAAGTTCCTAGACACTAAGCAGAATAGGATAGGAAAGACCCTTCTGTCTGACCACACTGTCAGTACTGCCCCACTCAACGACTGCCTTTGGTCCTTTGCTGGGAGTTCCACAGAACCCTGTGTGCGCTGCGGGTTAGTGTATGATGCACTGTCTGGCACCTACTCCACTTTATAATTAGGATTTATTTACAATGAAGTCAATTATTGATACTCAGTTGCACAGGTTATTGCAGGCTAGTGGGTTATCTCTGCTAAAAAACTGTTTCCCTTACAGCAAGGCATTCCTGTTGCTAACTTGCAGCTACTTCCCCCTCCTGTCCGTGTGTTGCTCACATTAAGGTTTGGAGTACATTTTGTCATGTTGTAAGAAGTATGGCCTGCCTCACAACCAATTTTGATCCCTCACTAGTACATAAACAGTATGTGCTAGTTTTCAAGCCATTAGTGTTTTTAGTTTAGATGAGTTGCACTGCAGATGGCAGGCCTATTGCTCAGTTCTAGCTTTCTGAAGTGTGGACCAACCTATAAGGCAGCTCAGGTCACTTGTTAAGAACTGTGCCCATCTCCTTGTTTCACTGACTTAAGACCACTTAAGCATTCAATATGGTTTGTCATCCCAGCCAGCATGTGCCTGGACTGCAAATGCAGAGTGCCCATAGACAGGCCTGCCGAGCTGGAACCAAAAGCATTTGGTGTGTTACTCACACCAGAAACTTAAGTTTCCTATAAGTATCTGCTATCTCTTATGAACATAAGATAGTTTTAGGCACAGAGTATTTCATCTGCAGGAAACAGAAGCTTCACAGTTGTACAGAATAATTCCTCTTTTTGCTTGTGCTTTTTTAATTTCTGCATTACATGAGTATGTTGTTTCTCAGGTATTCAGATAGTATTCATTACGCAAGTGACAACTTTTCTTTGGAAGGGTCTATAGTCTTCATTAATTTCTGATAAATCCAATAGCTTGTCTGTGTGGCTAGTGATTAATAGCAGCCATTCTCATTCAAAATCAAATCCATTGTTGGTTCAGACAAGTAACCTTACTTTTCATGCCTTCTTTTTTTGCTTGGTGGATCTCCTGGATTTGTATCCAACCCTGCTATCTGGCTGAGGCAGTGATGGAAACCCTTCTATTCACAGACTTTTGGAACTAGACTTTGGGTCTAGAAAGAAAAATTAATTAAAAAGGGAGTTGCAGTTCAGAGAGGGAAATTAATCCTTGAGAAGGGAAAATTCCTTCCTTGTTTCCATGGAAAGAAGATGTCAGATAGGTTTTTTAAATGTGTTTCTTCTCCCTGTGTATTGTTGAGAAATCAAAAAAGTTAAATCAAGGAAGAAGCTTCTTTGCATTTTGGGTTTGCTTTTGTGAAAACACAAAATTGTTTTCCATTTTTGAGTTTCTTTTGAGTATAATTTAGATCTAGAAATAAGGTCTGCGTGTTCAGCCACAGATATGCCAGTCATGTAGTGCAGGACTTGCATAAAAATTAGATTGTATAATTGTTCATTTATAACAATGGGTACAATCTGTTGGGCATTTTTTTATGCCAGGGGTCATAAGATCTCCGTTGTTGGTTTTGTGTGATGTTTGGGTTTTTTGGGGTTTGGTTTTTTGGTGTGGTTTTTTTTTTTTTTCTTTAGGTGTAATGTAGCAGCAGGAGTTTAAAAGGGATGTGTTTTACTGAGGAGAGTGAAAAATCGCTTAAATCATGGGCCACTTGTACTGATTTAATTTACTCACAAACTCTTTGGAGGCCTCTAACATAGGCTCTTGTGAAAGGATATTGGTGTCAGATTGATTATTGGTAATGAGCCACTTACATGAACAGGTAAGGTGAAAATGCGTAAGAGAGAGAGCTTAGTTGTCTGACTTCAGGAGCTAAGAAGAAAGTGAAGTTTCTATGCAACTGAGTGTAAAGACAGCAACATACTTTTCATTTTTGCTCTACCGTATGCACTCATTTCCTTGTAACCATGTGTGCTTGTAACCTTCAGCTGTGGCCTGCAGTGGGTCAGTTATTGTGGTGCTGGACCTGGTGAGGTGGGTTAGAGATGAACCTTGTTAAATGCCTAGTTGCTGAAAGACTTACTGATTCATGTGGGGAATTAGGGTATGGAATTAATCCCTAAATGAGTTCACTTTTACCCCACTGCTTATACTCTTCCTTCTTGTTTCATTATCCCTACTAAAGCCACTGTACAGAGGATTTATCACAAGGTGCCTTAGGAGCAAGGAGCATGTCTGAAATAAGAGCCATAGATGTCATTAGTCCAAGGGATTTCTCCTTGGGTTTTTTTCCCATTTGTGTAGAAGGGAGACGCGTCCTAAAATCAGGCAAGGAGAGCCCTATGGGCTCTTCCTGGAGATTTAAGCTCTTCATTAGACTGCCTTGTTGCTGTAAGTTGAGTCATAAAATGGTGTTTTGAGTTTCCTGGTGCCATAAGATCTTTGTCTTCTAAAATCATAAGTTGTTGTCATACACCAAGGAACACCAGAGGACTACTCCTTTTGATATAGTGATGGTAAACCTGAGGACCAGAGGAACACTAGATAGCCACAGAAAAGCATTCCTTGTGGCCATTCATTATTTTCTCTAAAAAGAGCGTCAGAATTCAGCACTGAGTGGTGTGTGCTTATGTATATTGAGACTGGATAAGAGACCAGAGCAAAAAAGGTGAGGGTTTTGTTTTTTTTCTACAAGTGTGAAGGGAAAGACTGTTTCTCCTTTCCTCATATCTGGGAAGATATTGGATGTGACAATGTCACGTATATGACTGAGAATATCTCAATGGGTAGAACGAAAAACTGAGAACTGATCGTGACTGGCTAGTTAATTAGACTGAAAGAAGCCAGGAGTTTAGCAGGAGTCAAAATGCTAAGTCATTTACCTAAATAAATTAATTTGATGTAACTTAATAAAGCTTTAGAAGGTACATAAATCTGCAGTGTTCAAGTACGTCTTGCCAGGAGAATTTTCTGTGGGGTTATTCCACGTTTGCCTCCAAAGAGTCTCTGGCAACTTATTCTGAAACACTGGTGCTGTTGGAGCTGAAGACACAACATCAGGCTGGGTGGACAGTGGGTCTGACTCCCCTTGGCTTTTCTGTGTTCCATTCTGGATTTTACATGTTGTCTTCTCAGAAGCATCATACAAGAAATGTACCCTTTATCAGGCAGGGAGAGAGCAAGAATTTTGCGAGCCATTAGTGAGGCTATCTGGTTTAAACCCATCTGGACTGGTGAGTTAAGTCCCTTGGGCAAGAAGCTGGATGCCAGCCATAAAGCTGAGGGCTAAGGAGGCTTTGCCAAATAATGACCTCGCAGTTTAGGAGCTGTGTTTGGAAATTATAAATAGCTGAAAATGGTTTCCTGGCAACCTTCAGGATGCTCTGGTGACTGCTCTCCTCAGAGGGAAGCAGCATGCTCTCAACTCACTGCTCCAAGTTGCTCACATAGATCTTTCAATGCGGAACATCTTGCAAAGCTCATCATACCTTTTTCAGACCTATATCCTTGTGAACTGTGATGGTTGTCAGTGCTTACCTATGTGATGTGAATGTTTTTTGATGTCCTGTGATTTCAAAATTGAGATCTCAGCACCAACCGTTTGCTCTTCATGTCCTCCCAAGATAGGAGCTTTAAATGGAGGAGAAGCTATTTCAACAAAATTTGGCACTGAACCTCTTGCTGAGGGGCACAGATGAAGGCTACATTTGTAGCATGCTTGTATTCCTTCTAAGCTTGGTTTGTACTGTTTATATTTGATGTGTTGTGGCTGTTTTGTAAAAGTATATTGGAACTTATTCCCTTTAAATAAACTTTTCACTATGCAACCAAGAACTTTGTCTTCTCTTTAAAACAAGTGTGTGTCTTGATATGAAAAACTGAACTACACCCTTTCCAACAAACCAAGAATAAAATTAAACCTGGTTTTATCAGTAAAGAGGGAGCACATACTCAAAATGTACTTTGCAGTGTACCAGATGTTATGGCTGTTGATGGGTAGGAAAATGTTCTGTTGTCAGCTGGTGATGATGGTTCCAGACAATTCTTCAAGTTCTCCAATGCTTGAGAGTATACTGAATGCCTGAAGAATTGGACAGGAACATGCAAGTAGCCAAGCTCATATAATAGACACAGATACTTTGAATGCTTTACCCTCCAGTGCTTCATATTGGTACTTGTCATCACCAATTGCAGAGATTCCCTATAGCTAGTTCTTCCATTATGTCATCTTTTAATCTGAAAGATTAATAACATATCTTCAGTTACCAAGTACTGATTAAATTATCTACAGAAAAGTGTTTTCTCTTCATAGCTGCTTGCCCATCAACTTTATCTTACTATGAAGACTGAAGGAAGCACTTGCTGGTCAAAATGAGAAATGATGACCTGTAGCTGGAGCCATCCTTCCATGGAATCATAGAACGGCTTGAGTTGGAAGGGACTGTAAACATCACCTAGTCCCAACTCATTTGCCACAGGCAGGGACACCTTCCACTAGACCAGGTTGTTCAAAGCCCTGTCCAACCTGGTCTTGAACACTGCTAGGGATGGGGCAGCCACAGCTTCTCTGAGCAACCTCTGCCAGTGCCTCACTATGCTCACAGTAATGTTTTTTTTTTCCTAATATCTAATCTTAATCTCCCCTCTTCCAGTTAAAGACATTCCCCCTTGTCCTGTCCCTACATGCCCCTGTAAAAAGTCCCTCTCAGGTTTCTTGTAGGGCTCTAGGTACTGTAAGGCTGCTATAAGGTCTCCCTTGAGCCTTCTCCAGGCTGAACAAGCCCAACTGTCTCAGCCTGTCTTCATAGGAGAGATGCTCCAGCCCTCTGATAGTCCTTGTGACACTTCTCTGGACTCGGTTCATCCAACAAGCCACATCCCTCTTGTGTTGAGGGACCCAGATCTGGATGCAGTACTGTAGGTGGGGTTTCACCAGAGCAGAGGGGCAGGATCACCTCCCTTGACCTGCTGGTCACGCTCCTTTTGGTGCAGCCCAGGGTATGGTTGGCTTTCTGGGCTACAAGTGCATATTGCTGGCTCATGTCCAGCTTTTCCTCCACTAGTACCCCCAGGTTCTTCTCCTCAAGGCTGCTCTCAAGCCCTTCTCCACCCAGCCTCTGTTTGTGCCTGGGATTACATGACCCGGGTGCAGGACCTTGCACTTGGCCTTGTTGAACTTCATGAGGTTCATACGGGCTGACCACTCAAGCCTATTCAGGTTTCCCTGGATGACATCGCTTCCCTGCAGCATGCTGACCACACTACACAGCTTGATGTTGCTGGAAATCTTGCTGAGGGTGCGCTCAATCCCACTGTCCATGTCACTGACAAAGAACAGCACTGGTCCCAGTACCGATCCCTGAGAGCTTCCACTCGTCACTGCGCACTTAGGAGCTGTCAAACTAGCTGTCTCTCCCTGGAAACTGATGTGTGCCCCGGGCTCTAGAAATGACCGTAATTCGTTACGGAGATGAGGGCAGCCCTGGTTTAGGATGGCCAGAGCAGCTGGCCTTAGTCGCCCGACCTCCTCCCTGCAGCCAGGCCTGCCCCTGCCGCACCACACCCCAGTACTCGGACGCTCCTAAGGCCGGCAGGGGCTCACAGGTGGCTGGCGGCCGCCCACAGCTGCGCCGCGGAGCCTTAATGGCTGCATCCCGCTACCGGCGCGTCCGCCCATTGCCATGCTCCCTGCCTGCCGCCGGGGCTGGCTGGGGCCGCAGGGTAGCGCCCCGGAGGGCGGCCTCGCCTTCTTCGTGCTGTGGGCGCTGCAGGAGCCGCCGGTGCGGCTGAGCGGGTGCGGACCGACCCCGCCGCATAGCGCCTGGGAGCGGTGGGCCTTGCGCGCCTCACCTCGGCTGTGGAGCTGCCCGTGACTGCGCCGCCCCAGCTCATGGCTGCACTCCCCTCCCAGGCTGCCGGTTACTTTCTTCGTTGCATCCCTGCGCGGTTTCCTCTTTAAGACCCTCCTTGCCCTCTCCCCCGGCATAAACATATTTTCAAGCCTTTTCATATATTTTTTTTTTACCTTATTTTTTACTCCTTGATGATTATCTCAGTTTTCTGCTGTTTTTCTCCCCCCGCAGCCAGTCCAGCAAGATGGGTTTCCAGGCTTGGCTGCCCCTGCCGCTGCCGGAGCAGCTGGTGGTGTTCGGGCTGGGAGACTGGAGCTGTTACTCCCCGGACACGAGCATCGCGGTGGATGTGCTGGTGTCCCCAGGCATCGCCCCGCAGCGGGTTGGCACGCTGCAGCCCACCCGCAGGTCGTGGCGGGAGCTGGTGCTGCCGGGGTGTCAGGAGGGGTGTTCTGGACAGGCATTCTGCTCTGCGGTGCTGCCTGGTTTTGGTGGTGGTGTCCCAGAGCTGCTCAGGCCTGTCAGTCCTCCACCATAGTGTTTCTTTCAAGTGATCCTTTCAGCTTCCTTTTGGCTGCTTTCAGTGCTAGGTCTCTTTTTGTCTTTGGGGTTTTACCAGCTAGTGTGGGAGCAGGAGTTTTCCTCTAGTGAGTGTCACCTGTGGGCTGAAAACCCATGGTTCTTGTGCAGGTCTCTGGTGTGGGAAGGTGACTGGAGAACGGATATTTTTATGGCCTCGTTGGAAGAGATGGACAAAGGCAACTCTGTGAAGCTTGTCCTGACTGTCAATGGACAGGTAAAATAACTGATCCCCTCCTCTGTTCCTGCCCTGGGCCCCAAATATTGTCACCTCAGAGCTACAGAAGTTCCTCTCATATCCTTTCCTTTTCCTTCATTTTGCTACTCTGAGGCAGAGCCACCAAACATGGATCTGTTAATGCATGTCTGTGCTGAACCTAAACCCTCTGTGGTGCTTCAGACCTATTCCCTAAACACAGCTTTGCCAAAACACCTTGTGTTGCAGGAGATAGGTAGCAGAGAGCAATTCACTTCCTCTTCCACTACCTGCTGCATCTGCGGTTGTTTTACCTTGCGCTGAAGCCATTGGGTTCAGCATCTTCCAGTGCCTGGCTTTGTTTTCCCTTGTTTATTCTGCAGATGAAAGCTGGGCTATTCCCTTGCAGCACATCTGTTCCTTGCAAGACATCTTTTTGCTCACCCATTGTGGATGGAGGCCAGTGCATTTGGTGCGTCCTTCTATTCTCAATGTCTTTGTTTCTGCTGCAGTTGCTCCGAGGTGTTTCCAGCAGTACACCTGTCCACCCCTTCCTTGTCCCAGAGACCACACAGTCTCCAGTGCTTCCAGCAGACGAGAAGCCCTTTGGCCAGGACCTGGAGGATCCTACTGCAGTTATGTGTATCCTGGAGCCTTTCTGTTGGTTTTTCACCCTCTCCTTGCTATCTCCTCCCTCATTCATAGCTGCTCAGTTGATGTCTAGCAGAAACACTTGTTGCCACTCTCTCAGTGGAAACCTGGCTAAGCAAGTTTTGAAACCAAAGGTTAAGTTGTGTTTAAGAAAGTGATACTCTCCATAGGAATGCCTTTGGAAGGGTGGAATTTAACAGTCCTTGGTGGGATGGTTGATCAGCCTAGTTACTCCTAGCACAGATGGCCTTTCAGCATTTCCAGTTGCCTTGTGTTAGCTGTGCCCATCACAACCAGCAGTCTGAAAGGAGACCACTGGGCATGTAGCAGCATGTAGCTGCATTGCTCAGCATGTATTTGCTGGCTGAAATGGTTGGTATACTGGCCCTTAAGACTCAATGGGAAGAAGAGCCTGAAGACAGCCACCACGTGAAACTAATCTCTGGCCCAGGAGCAGAAAAGTTACATTAGCCTCTCAGGTCTTTTTCTTCAGGGCTGATTTAACTGGGACTCTTTATCACAGGTTAGGAGTCAGAGCTCAGAGGTAACTGCTAGAGCATCCAGGCCTGGGAGGAAGGATGCTTGCCCACCGCTGAGGACCCTGGCGGTACCCTGTGCCCTGAAGCCACCATCTGGCAAAGTGGAAGCCAGTGAGGCCTGGAGGAAAAGTCCTGCCCACCTCAAGAAGCCCAGGAAAGTTTTATTTAAACCCACAGCATCTGAGAGAGATCTTGATGAAGAAGGTAACTCTGGCAGCTTCCAGGTTTATTTTATAGGTCTTGTCTGAATGATCTATTAATGCTGCTGGTCAACAGCTTCCTAGCCTTTGCCCAAGGCAAGATGGGTTTGTCTGTCTTGGCTAGTGAAATACTGAGAATGCTCCTTGGTCTTGGATAAACTTCTTGATGAATTTTGCCTATTGTGAAAAGGCCAGAAATGGAACATGGGATACTATTAGTGCTAACATAATATGCCTCTCTCTTCACATGATTAAAAGTGCTTTGTAAATGAAGGCAAGTACAGTTGCCCTTCATTTACAAAAGAGTAAATTGAGGCACAAGAAAGTTAAATACTGTAACATCCTGTAACCTTTCAATTGGCACCTTTGTTCCCCTACTATCAGCATTGGTTATTATTAAAGTATGAAACATATGGAAAGGAATATATATATCATTAGTATAATTGTACTGAGTTTTCAGCAGTGAGAAGGAAGCTGCCAAGGGGGTGGGAACAAAAGTTTTAGGTTATGGAGTGTGAATTCCAAGTCAGCTCCAGGGTTTGACCAAGCTGGTGTGTAAACATTTGACAACACAGTGGGCCCCATGTGAAGTGACTTCTCTGTGACTTGTCTTGCTTCTCACAGGGGCAAATGCAGCTCCATCATAGTTGCTTCCACTGTAGGCAGTGTGAGAAGTGGAAAAATGAGGTTCCATCAGAGGGGTAAAATGCAGTCGTGACAGCAAAATAGTAGTCAAAGGACATGTGCCGTGTTCTTACTTATCTTCTGCATTTCTTCTGATGAGCTGAGCACTTTCCATGGTATGTCTGCTGACTGCTTTCTTTATGGGGCCATCTCTGTGTTTTCTCTGCAGATCTGTCAGTGAAGGAGTTGCAAGGTGAGGATCTGGTTTCTAGACCCTGGTTTGTCTTTTCAGCCACTCGGTGATGCTATTCCCTTTAATGTCACAAGCCTCTTGTGCTTCATCCTTTGTCTCCCCAGTAATCAAGAATAACAAGTAGGTTGTATATGTATATGCTCCTCCTCTCCATGCGATTACCCTCAGTACAGGCGATTCAAGTACTGTCAGGCTCTTGAGGATGTTCCTGTAGGTCCTCTGAATCTCAGTCACACCTCTGGGTGCATAGTACTTTGAGGTAAAGGATAAGATGTGGAATAGACCTTGATTAAAAAGTGGTTTTTTATGTTGCTCAGCCAACCACAGGGCCCTGGGAGAGGAAATAAGGAGGAACAGAGTAGTAGGAGGAATATTCCTGGAAGCAGCTCCAGGCTTCCAGTTCTGTATATTAGGCACTAACAAGCTGTCCATGGGTAGCTCTCCCTCACAAGGAGTAACACAGGGGGTAGCACAACTGGGATATTCCTTGTGGGGTTAGGTAGCTGATGGGGGGCATGCAAGCCTGTCTGAAGTGGCAGCCTATATGTGTCCTCATATATACAGGCAGGCTCTCTGTTGGCTCCCTCTGCCAGTGACATCTCTCCTTGTAAGGCAATTCTTCCCCAAAGCAAATAGCAAATCTTCCTCAGGGAGCTTTGTCTCTTGCCACACCAGAAGGAAGTGATGTGAGGCCCTTGCCTTCCCGCTTCTGCCCTCGAAGCCTCCAGCTGCCTTGTTTTTCCCAGCAGGAAAGGGAGCTGGGGGTGTCTCACCTGACTGATTTCAGCCCTGGGCTCTCCCCTCTTCAGGCAGTCCCAGCCCACGGTGGTGCCATGCCATGTGCCTCAGTGACCTGGGGACAGCTGTTCTCATTGGTGGAGAAGGTGTTGATCAGCAGCCCTGCAAGGATGCACTCTGGAAGATGGAAATTGGTGGGAACTTCAGGGCTATCAAAAGCAATGGGAGCAGTGGGACCTGAGACAACTCATGCAGGTGGGAGGGGTACTCAGGGGTTTGTGCAAAGGTGTTACATCTCCTAACATGGGTCAGCAGGCTGAGTTGACAATATAGGCTGCCATGAGAAGCTGTGGAGTTGTGTGTGAGAGCCTTCCAGGAGCTAAGGTATAAGCTCTGGAAAGAGCTGGGTGAATTTTAAAGGGTACACAGTCTATGTGTGGTTACTGGTGGAGAATCATGAAATACCATTCCAGTGCCTTTCACCTTTCTGCATCTCACTGATCCTCTCTTCCACTTTACTATTCCCCACCTAGTGAGTGTTCTCCTGCATTACTTACACAGAAACATTTCTGTAAGAGTCTCCTCTAACCCTGAATCAAAGGGGAGGAGGAGATGAAGGGAGCAGGATCTTGAGTACAGATTTTATGACATGTTCTTTAAATCTGGAGAAATCAAGAGCATCTCTGAACTCCTACACCATTTATCTGGTGTTGCTTCCACAGACAGTGATTTCTGGCTTCCAGTGGGTTTCCAGCTACAGAATGCCATGCCATTGTGCTTGCATGGACACACAGCTACCTATGACCCAGAGACCAAGCGTATCTACATCTTCGGGGGCATAAGGGAGGGCAAAACCAACCGCAGCATCTACATTCTGGACACAGTCACTTGGAAATGGCTCCTTGTTGCTGTAAGTACTGCAGCTCTTCCAAGACATGAGCACAGGAGGGGTGGCAGGACCTGCCTGAATGTGGCAATCGATATGCCCGTATCCTTATTCCAGTAATCTTGGTCCCTTGCTCCTGCAGGTCGTCTGAGCTGCTTAGTTGGGATTGACAGATATAAAAAGGCTATGTTGAAAGGCTACAAGCTTGGCAGAAACCAAGGGCTGTGCCTACAATGAGTGAAGCAAGGTGAAAAAATGGCTGCTGCAGAGTGCTGTGTCTGACTGAGGTTGTGGGAGGAAGGTTCTGTATGAGTGTCAGAGGGAAATGGCCTCTCATTTTGTATGGTGCTGTTGAGAGCTGTTCTGGACGCTGAGGTGAAAAGCTGATCTCAAATCAGGGACTGCTCTAAGCACAGGGACTGCTCTAAGCACAGGGACTGCTCTAAGCACAGGAACTGCTCAGAGCTCTGTAGTTGCTGTCATGTCCTTGCAGGGAGCCTCATTAGCAAGGGACTATCTGTCTCTTTCCTGGCTAAGTCAGAAGGTGGCTTTTACAGAATAAGCCTGGATGAGTTCATTCAGTTCTCTGATGTCTTCTGAGGAAGCTGGGCTAGGAAGTTATGTTCCTTCTTCCATCAGAGCATTCTGGTGGTGCAGAGTACTCAAATGATGTACTGCCTACCTCTGTGGCAAAGATCTGGCTGAAGAGTTCAATACAGTGAAAATTGAGACTTGCCCAACTCACTGCATGACCCCTTTCCTACAGGTCATGCAGCAAATAATACACTTCTTGTAACAAATGTATGTTAAACTTTCTCCAGGCTAAAGGGAGGATGCCAGTGCTCACTTACCACAGTGCAACTATCTACTGCAAGGAGCTCTTTGTTTTTGGAGGGACTTCCCCCCAAAAGGCATCGATGGCGGTTGGACCCTGCAGCAATGTGCTCTATATCTTCAATCCAGAGCATGAAATTTGGTATCAGCCCATCTCGGAAGGGGAGAAGCCTCTGCCTAGGCTTGGGTGAGAGTGCTCTTATTCCAGCCCTCCAAAATAGAGCAGGAAACCTCTGCTCACCTTCCCTCCCACACCAGTGTAATTTCCTAAATATTTACGTGATTGTTCTCCACTGTTTTCTTGTTAAGATAGGCCTATGTTTTGAGCAATGTGACTCCCAGTACCTCCTGTCATGAATCCTGATGGGATTCTGTCCTTGGGCAGTAGAGGCAGGTGTAGACTGAAGCTATGGCAGGCAGCCCAATAGCAGAAGCAAAGGCTGAAACATCGGTTTTGGGAACTGCTAAAGATGCTTTGTTCACTTGCTGCTTCCCTGCCCAGGCATTCAGCTACTCTACTGAAGAACAAACTACTGATTTTTGGGGGCCGGAGGGCTTCTCTCTACCTCAGTGACATGCACATCCTAGATCTGGGTAAGATGGCTGCCTTGGGAAGGGCTGTTCTAAGGCAGGGCTTGGAATGAGGCATGCTAGATGGGGAGGTGCCATTGACATTATAAAAACTGAGTAGACAATGGAGATGAAAAACTATGGGGTAAAAAAACCCAACCAACCAACCAGCCAAAACACCTTCCTGTGGTGTGAGGGGAGGGAATGGGAAAAACAAGAAGCTGTGTTTTTGGAAGAAGCTGGGTAATAAGGCAGGTTGCTGATGTGAAGGATTATGGAAGGTTTTGTCTAGTTATGAGGCTGGGATTTTTTTGACATTTCACCTGCCTTTCCCCTGGCTGTCAGGTTTCATGGAGTACACACCAGTCCCTCTCCTCACAGGACAGCCTTCTGCACGTTGGTAAGATCCTATTGCAGATAGAAACTATCTTCTTTCTCTGTCCTCTTTGAAGCCAGGTTTGAACAGTGCTTGTGATCAGATCTAGTTGTGTATCTACCCCACTAGTCAAAATACAGTGGATGGCCCCTCTGCTGTGGGACCAGAAATTCGTGTGCTATCCTAGTTGGTGCCTGTAGGGCTTGGGGGGTACAGACCCCTTAGGCTCCCTAGTCTCCTCTCCTTTCAGGCTAGGAGAAGTTTTCTGCCATGTGCTAGTGAAACGTATTGCCTGCTGTTTGGTCTCCACAGTACCTGGGGTACAACAGACACACAGAGAGGGATAAACTCTTGTACTAGGACTATGCTTTTTCTAAAGCCCTTGCCCACTAGAACAATAATCTAAATCACACCAAAGCCCAGCTAGCCTGCTGTTGCACTCCACAGAGCGAAAACATAGGAGTTTTGATAGCTCCTTTTGAGATAATGAGGAGCTTTTCAAGCTTGATTATGGCCTGACCTGCAGAGGCAAACAAACAACTCTTTCAGGGTTATTCAGCAAATCAGGGCAGAAAAGAAGCAGAAATAAACTTTCATTCTTCAGCTAAAGCCCCCACCCTCCTGCTGAAATATGTCCCCCCCACCCATTGCTGACTGAGAAAACCCCAGCAGGTTATGCTGTAGTCAGCCTTTGGCTTTGCTTTGGTCACAGTTTTCATGCAGCTCTGGCTGTGTCCAGCCAGAAGGTTCTCATCAGTGGAGGCTGCAATGCCACAGGAGCCCTGCAGGATGCCTTTGTCTTCCACCTAGGTGAGTGACTCTCCCTACCCGTTTCCTCAGCTGAAGTTGACTATGGGCTGCAGTGATGTTTCTGAACACCTAGTCTGGTCCATTTGTTTCATCCATTGCACTAGGAATGGGCTTGTCAATATTGATAGCCCTTTCTCTTTCAGATACTCTTTCATGGAGCACGGTGATCCACCATGACCTCTGCTCTGTGCCCCGAGCTGGCCATACATTGCTTGACCTGACTCCTGCCTGCCTGAATGATGTGGACAAAGGGAATAAAAAGGAGCACAATCTGCACACAGTGTTGGTCTTTGGGGGCTCCAACTGTGTCGGGACCTTTTACAACACCACAGTCAAGATCCAGCTGGACCTAGGATAATGCAGAATACCCAGAATAAGCCTTGGAACAGCAAAGGCTCTTCACCAGCCTGAATACAGACATGGACTGCAATAAATGAGTCCAAGCAATGTGGCAGTCCAAGTATCTGTATGTAGGTGAATGCTCTCATGACACAAGAGATTGTGGGTTTGTAAAGCCTTTCTGAAGGCTGTGGGTATTTCCCTCTTAGGGTAGCTAAGCCAGCATTGGACTGGCAGAAATCCCCTCTGATGTCCCTGGCTTTGGTATGTGGTCTTGGGTGTTAAAACATTCAGTGGGATCTGAGGTGAGTCTGCAGAGGAACACAGTCACATGCTTCTGGGTTTCTCTTCTTGCCCTACAGGTTTTGGAGCTGGAATTCCCAGGATGCTTCCAGCTCTGAAGGTAACTCAGATTTTATTTGGGATGAGTGCAATGGGATTTACACCTGCTGCTTGGAAAAGTCCTCACAGTGAGGTAAAAGCATGATTCTGGTTTGGAGGAAATCTGGGATAGAATTCCCTTGGGCAATAGCCTGCAAGTGTTAGGAAAACACCTAATGCAGTGTCTGAGAATGGTAAAAGGAAGAGAAGGCTATCATTTTCAGTGTATGGGAGAGAGCTGGTTGTGTCTTGCCAGCTGTGGCACAACCACCTAGCTTTGCTCTAGAGAGACCTTTTATTAAAAATTCCACAAGACTGCTGCTACACATAAGCGGTACAAACCAATTGTCCTTGGTAGTAATTTACTTGTCATTGCAAGGGGTGGCAGAGTTGCCGACTGTTTGCTCTTGCAAGACCCGTGAGACCCAACAAGGGTTAGGGTTAAGCTGTCTCCTGTTGGAGACTAGCTCTATTTATATCCATTATATCCACTGCTGATTATGCCACAGCTCTGCAGCAGCTGCAGTGACAAGCAGGCCTACTAGATTAGCAGCACACTGTTACACTGCTTCCCTGATGCGCTTTCTGTAGACAGTAAAGAAGTCCCATGGGGAGTCCAGAATTGCCGCAATACCTCACAGCTCTCTGTGGCCACATTCCCCAACTCAAAGCCATACAAAGGGAACTTGTGATAATTATGAATCCTTCTGGTTTAATCTGCTCCATGGAGATACATCAGATAGAAAAAACATAGCCAGAAGTAGCTGCAAGCTTTCCAGCACAGGCATAGCTCCTGTATGTCATCCAGGCTACTTCTAGGTCTGTTCTTCTTCCCAACCAAATGAAAGTGAGGCAATAGTACTAGGGCTTCCTGATGGCACTGAAGTCCTACTCAAGCTGTAGCTGTTTTCTTCTTTGACACTCCAGCTTACTTGATTTAATGAGTAGGACAGGACTTCAAGCTCGTAGCTCTGCAGGAGTATCTGGCTGCCGGGATGGGTGGCTTACTTTGAATGCCTCTAACTCCAGGAGAGCTTTGTTTATTCTAGTTATTGTGGGATAAGGACCCATGTCCACTTTGAATCTGCAAAGGGAAAAGAATTTGTGATGAACTATGAGTTGGATAGCCAGTGCAGCAGTGAGCAGAAGAGCAGTGTGCTGTGTCTTCCCAGCATGGAAGAATCTTACAATGCAAATGTACATTTGCATTAAGAGAAAAGGTTCATCCCTGTAGGTTTAAAACCAGACGCTAGATCTTCTATCATCACTGGGCTTTACATAGTGTGCAGCACAGGGTAAGAAGGCACTATGCTTTTCCTGGAAATCATGCAACCACTATGTGCATAGGTTTAAGGCTTTCAACAAATAGATTAATATTTCCCCACTGTGCAGTGTAAATGTAGGGCAAACAGGGAGAGAGGACATGGCAATGCAGGAAACCTTAACTTTCCTAAGGATACAGATCAGGTTTCCCCCAAGGGCCTCTGAGAAGACAGCACAGCTCCTTATTTCCAAGAACTTCCAAAAGAGACAGTATTTACGGCATAGTAAAACTAATGCAGAGAAGAATCCATAACTGGATAGGGCAGGCAGGAGGGATGCTTTTGTAACAGGCACAAGGTGCAGAAGGTAAACTCTGACAGCCCAGGACAAGGGGTAGGTGCCCTTGAAGAGTTCCTCAAGCTTAGCCTTACTTACCTTTCGGCATTGGAAACTTGAGGTACCAAGCACAGATCAGCCATTGAAACCTGTAAATGTAGCAGAGAAAAGGCATCAGAGTATGAGCCTGTTCCATCATTCTTCATTGTGGTGGCAGGCTTTGAGAGCAGGATAGAAATTATGGTATTAGCCAGTACAGAGGAGCTGTCATGACAATCTTGTTCTTTAATCTAGCATTAATAACATGACAGTGGTACAAGGAAAGGAACTTCATAGCAGTCACTAGTAGAAAAACCCATTAGCCTTTAGGGAGCTTCACATTTACCAGCTGATCATGACAACCTTGAGGACATGATGCTCTATGGCAACTGCCTCTGAGTAAACAAGTCTGCTGACAAGCTGCAGAGGAAGGTGATGGAAGGAGGGGAAAGTCTGCATGGCTGGGAAAAGATGAGTAAATTTTGCTTGTTTGCATTGCAGGAGTATCGGGCAGCTCCTGCCAATGTCAAGACATGATACATGATAGCACCTTCAGACACAGGCACAGGGACTCACAATCTGAAAAGAACCAAGGACAGTACAGCTAACTGCTTATCTGAACACAGGCAGCTGCCCTCACCCTACACCCCATGTCACAAAGCCCTGAGTGCCTTTCACCAGCATAAGATCATGTAATTAGTCTTTGCCTATCAAAGGCTCCAGTTCCATAATGTTCCTACTAGACAATCCTATGCACCATAGGATAGTGCGGGACTCTTCACTTCTTTTTTTTTCCTTAGGTCTTAGAAAGGATCCAACTGCCTACCAAACAGGACAGAGGTCTGAGTGGCCTTTAGCTTGGCAAGGGTCAGAACAGCTTGTATGTGAGCGCTCTGAAAGCTGACCATGTTAGAATTGGTCAGACAGTGCAGAAAAATACAATACAACTTGGTTAAAGGTTCCACAGAGCAGAGCTAAGAAATGAACCTGTTTCTTGAGCCAAGCTTTGACCTTATGACAGGACACTTTGAACTCCAGATCTCTTAAAGATGAAATATATATAATCTGTTTCCCCATCCTCTAGTAGCAGTCGGATCCTAGATACAGCTGCAGAATCTGGCTATCAGCAGGTTACAGGCAGGGACAAGTAAACATCTCTGTTAACTATTTGCAAGCCAGTAATGGCCTAAGTAAGATCCATGCAGCTTTTTCTTACTGTGAATGCACCACATGCAACTCCAATCACAGAATGGGGTTGTGCTGTGTCTCCACAACTAATTTCCTTTCTTATTTTATGGAGTACATACTGGGCTTGTCAGTTCTCCAGTGGTTTATAATGTTTGCTCAGATACTTACTTCATCCCCCACACAGTAGTGCCCAGCAGTGTGCTGCAGAATCTGCTCAAGTGCTGTCAAGAAAGGTGATACACTGGTGTGAGACATTGGAAACTCATTTGAAAGGGACACCAAAGATCCTTCACACTGGGCATTATGAACAAAGGCATTTTAATCCTAAGATGAGTATGAAAAATGGGCAATTTGGGGCAGAGCCTAAAAGGAACAGAAATCTTACAACAATATAGTTATGGGAGTTTTCAGGATCAGTTTGTGTCTGTCCAGAAGAGAAGATGGGCCTGCCACTGCAGCACATGTGGGAAAAGGTTTTGAGGAAACAAAAAGCACCCCATTTCTCCTGGGGAGGTAAAAAAACACTGTGCTACGTACTAGATTCTGTGGGAGTTTGCCATCAGATACCTTTTGTCTGATTGCAAAAGCATATAAATACAGATTGACAGAACTTTTAAGCAAAAGGTACTAGTTTGGGAGCAGCTGGGTGGAAAGAAGTGCTGTCAGCCCTTGTGCTTCAGGGACAATCAACTGCTGTGGTGCATAGAATGACCCCAGGCTTCCCCTCTTCCATATGCAGCAGTGGAAGCACCCTATGGACAGCACCTTTCCTCTGAGAGCTTGAAGAACAACCAATCCTTAGGAAGGCACTCTGGGCTGGAAGAGTGCCGTCACTGCACCAGCCCAGGGAGATCTGTTTTTCTGCTTGTAGAGGAAAGTAGGACCCCAGCAGTGCAGCATTTTGAAGAGCCATATTTTTGGACATGGGACTTGCCTTGAAAGCCAGATGCGATGCAGTTCTGAGCCCATTCAGTTTTTTTCTCCCCTATTTGTTTCAGGACATTCAGGTTCTGCAAAGATAAGCAATCTCAAGGTTAGATTGACGGCTGCTGGCAGGATCTTGCCCACTGCCTCATCCAGTGGAAGAGAAGGGAGATAAGTTGCCAAGTCTGAACCCCCAGCCCGAGTTCAGCCTGCTAGGTCAGCCCTGACCTCACCCTCACCAAATCAGGCACCCTGCTGTACCTCTGATTTGGGACTGTCCTTCTGTAACAGCTGCCAGGGTATCTATCCCTTTGCCTCTGCCCTTTGGGTTGTCAGTTGTCTTCCTCCTAAAACATTGTAGACCCAGCAGTGGAACCATATGGGTTCAGCTGTTTCTGGAAAGAACCCTGGGGTGCTACAGATTTTCTTTGCAGGAAATAGTTTATTGTTGCCATTGGCAGATCAGGCAGAGGCTAAGCAGAGACTTCATCTGCCAACACACAGTCTTAAGGTCTGCCACACTACTGGCTCGCAACAATTTAAAGATACTGAATTTTTCAGAGGTATTGCAGACTCCTGGATACCCATCCTGGCTTTTCCATTTGCACGGATATGACAAGGCAATACCTGGAGTGGCTGAATGCCGGAAACAATGTGATCAGCAATCATTCTGACTTGAGCTCTCTTCTTTGGGTCTTGGGGCAGGAGCCTGGGGGTAGGATGGGTATCTTCTAGGTAATGAATTATAGCTAGCTGTAATTAACAAAGAGGTAAAGGGAGATTATTGGAAAGCTAAGGAAAAGTTCACTTTCTTAGTACCTGGGGAAGGGTTGCTGATCCAAGAGAACACAACGGCTTTTTCATGAAGTTTGTTACTGATCCAAGCAACAGAATATCCCTTTTGATGTCCACTTGTGGCCTTCTTGTCATTTAGCCCAGCTGTAATTTCAGGCAAACCTGGCACGGCCATTTAAGTCAGACTATAAATTGTTTAGTGAAAAGTAGAGTTACAAACCAAAGCTGAATTGAGCTTACATCATGACAGGAATTTCCCAGCAGAGTCTATGTGCTATTTCTGCCCCCAAGTGGGTTTGTTTATCATAAATCGCACCTCTTTTCCAATGCACAAATGAGAGTGTGCAGGGAAAAGATGGGGCAGAGCCATCCCCTCCAGACTGGGCAGCAGGCTGGACTGAACGGTTAACAGGGATGTAGCTGGTAACTCACCGACTGAGAAAGGGTGATGCCATCAATTTTCAAGGCTGGTACTTGCTGCATTGGATTCACTGCCTTGAATTCAGCAGAAAACTGTGGAAACAAACCCTGAGATTACTGCAACAAGAAATTCTTCTGTGTTTTCTTTCTCTAAACCAACCCAGTTATTATTTTTTTTTTTTTTTAACCTGGCTTTTCTTTCTCAGTATTAATATTTGCAGTACTATTAGCTGTATTGATAGCCTCCAGCAAACTCACTGGGGCTCAGGGATCTGCATCCAGGGCCAAACTTCCTTACCTCTTGATAAACTGTCAATACAAGCCCAGGATGGGTGGTACTGCAGCAGTGTCATTATTACTGTTACAGTTCTTCATCTTAGCCCATACTGGCACATCATGCTGGTGGTGCTACTAGGCGCACAACTCCCCACTATGGCCCCCCGAGTAAGTTCTCCGTGAAGATCTATTCTGGCAACCCACCCTTTCCTTTGGCAGGCCCTCTGAGAGGCTCAACTGGCTACAACTATGAATTACAGAGAAGCGGTGAGGAATTCAGTGACTTCGCCTGTGAACTTTCTAGTGCTAATCGCAACTCATCTCATGATCCCTAAGTTCACGACCCCTGGATAAAGCAATGGTAGATATACCCT